ATTAAGATCTTATATTTATGATCAAACTCAACTTTCAGTGAGATCTTATACTAATGTTGTACCAATTTAATTTGGCTTGGGATAATTCATAGTTAATTTTACTCATAAGGATGACTATGATTATGTGCTAATGGAAGGTCCTTGTCTTATTTTGGATCATTATCTAACAGTTCAACCCTGGAAACCGGATTTCGACCCAAATGAGGAGGAAATAACAAAGGTTGCAGCCGGGTAAGGATTCCTAAGTTTCCCATGGATTATTATGACTAAGGGATTCTATATGTGGTCGGTAGTCAGATCGGTAGGTGTGCTTAGAGTCGATACAAACACTTTATACAAATCAAAGGCACGTTTTGCCAGACTATGCATCGAGCTTGATCTAAAGAAACTGCTACTGCCGATGATTCTGATGAATGGTAAGGAAAAGAAAGTCGTCTATGAAGGTTTGCACTTTATATGTTTCAGATGTGGTAAATATGGCCATGACCAAGACCACTATTTGAGATACATGGAGGAAACAAGCAACCCGAATGCTGTGAAGCAACAAACACCACAGAAAGCGGCTTCGGCGAAGAAGACTCAGGAGGAAGAACCGTTGTATAGGGGGTGGATGGTCTGAACTTCAAGGTGAAATAATTGTAGAATAATCAGGGACTCAAATCAGGGAAATAAACAAGATCCTAACAGTCACAAAAATCAGACTATCGTGGGGTCATGATATTCTGCTTTAATGCTCAATGATACTGAGGTACAGTCACGAAGAGATTAGGTAGTTAGGGAGAATATCACGTCACAGGATACTACTTTGGTTGCTAAGTCTCGTAGTAAAGGAGGGAGACCACGTGGATACCCGGTTGATAATAAGAGTGGGACAGGGAGCAAAACTGAAGGCATACGTAAGGAGATGAACCACAATAGAGGGAAAGTAAGCCTGATGGATGACTACATGAGAGTGAGAAATCAACAAGACCTTGATACGGATCTAACTATGGGACAAGATTTGATGCAAGCCCAGGACACAAACAGAAAAATGGAAAGAGTGACTACCAATGGGGAAAAACCCACTACTGACACCAATGGTGGGCTATCCTTGCCAACCCCCATAAGCTCGGAGAGCAATGACCTTCTGGACCCAGGACCATGCACCAACACAGAGTTCCTCATTAGAATGAATCCTTTGTCAGAGGGGTACAATGTAAAAACTAGTGTTCATGAAGTTAAGGATGTGAACGCCATGCTCGTTGAGTCTCACATGTAGGACAGTGATCCTCGCACTCTTCTACTAGTTTTATGGATAGTAAACTACTAGTTTGGAACTCACGCGGAGTAGGAAGTTGAACATTTAGTCGCCTATTGTGCGATCTCCGGAACCGTCATGAGGTCTCTTTCTTGGCTCTGTTGGAACCTAGACAACAATCCAAAAAAGCTAATGCAATAGCACATCGACTCCAATGGCATAATATGGACTTCGTGGAAGCTAGGGGCTATAGCGGGGGCATCTGGCTTTTTTGGCAAGACTCACTTGACTTCGTCATTGAGCTCAAAACCAACTACCTTATACACAGCACCATGAATAAAGGCATGGTGGATGAATGGGCTTTGACTGTGGTATATGGGGACCCTTCATTTGGCAAGTGAAGATTCCTTTGGCAAGAGCTTAATACTCTGAACAGCTCAGTTACTGGGAAATGGGTTGTAGCAGGGGATTTTAACACCACTCTAGTGCATGAGGATCATAACTCCCGCTCTCCTTACCCCAAAGTTCCTGAACCTGCCTTCTACAGATGGGTAACAGATAGTGACATGTTGGACATCGGTTTTAGTGGACCCAAATTTACTTGGCACAGAGGCTCGAGTTCCAGCAGAATTAATCGAGTCTTGGTAAGTAATGATTGGTACCAGGCCCATCCTAATGCTTCCCTCTGGCATCTTTCAACGTACAAATCTGACCATTACCCACTTTTGTTATCGTTAAACGATGCCCCGGGGAAGAGGAGTCGCAACGCTTTGTTCCGCTTCTTTGCTCCTTGGGTCATGCATAAAAGCTTTGCTCCCTTCATGAAAGATAACTGGTAACAACAAGGAGACTGGAATAACATAATCTCGATATTTAAGGAGAGACTCAAACAATGGAATAGAAATGTGTTTGGGGATATAAACAGAAGAAAAAATTAGCTGCACAGAAGGCTTGAAGTCCTGAACAGAAAAATAAAGGGAGTAGGGAGCTTGACTGAACTTGAAAAAGCTAGAGAGGAAACATGGATGCAACTTGAAGAAACCCTTGCTCAAGAGGAGCTAACGTGGCTTCAAAAATCACGGTGCACTTGGTATCACCATGGGGATCGCAATACTAGATATTTCCATACAGTGGCCAGCTGTAGATGAAAACGTAACAGAATTGAAGCTGAGGTTGGAATCCGGTGACTAGTCATACAATCCACAAGAAATCATGACTATGGGTACTAAGTTTTTTGAATCACTGTTCTCTGAAGAAGGTACGGTCAACCAAATATCGTCTTTGATGTGGGGTTTCCTAGTTTGGAGACGGTAGACCTACAACACTTAGGAAGGAACATTCATAATGATGAAATCAAAAGGGCTCTATTTGACATGAGTCCACTCAAAGCACCAGGCCCTGATGGCCTTAACCCCCTCTTCTTTCAAAGTCAATGGGAAATTGTTGGAAGTAGGATGATGTAGCAAGTACGTGATATCTTTGACAAGCCCACTATTGTACAATCCATCAATGATATGCAGATTGTTCTTATACCCAAGGTTGATTCTCCCCAAACTATTCGTGACTTCTGTCCAATCAGTCTATGTAATGTTATTTATAAAGTTGTCACAAAGATAATTACAAATAGACTAAAGGACATCATGCCAAAAATTATTGCTCCCAACCAATGCAGCTTTGTAAAGGGAAAATAGAGTACTGATAACATCATCCTTGCATAGGAGATTAGTCACAGTATAAAAAACCAAAAGAGGTCGAAAGGGTTCATGGCAATCAAGATTGACCTCGAAAAAACCTATGATCGAGTTCGATGGAGCTTTATCTTCAACTGCTTAAAAGAGCTAGGTTTCCCACGTTACATTAATGACGTCATTAAAGCTTGTGTGTCTAGCCCGAAAATGAGCCTACTTTGGAATGGAGAATGAGCCAAGGACTCCCTACCTACTCGCGGTGTTCGCCAAGGTGACCCCTCCTCTCCATACTTGTTCGTGCTTGCCATTAAGAAATTGGGACAGCTTATTCAAGGCGAAGTTGATCGAGGAGAATGGTGGCCATTTAAACTTCACAAAGGAGGTACTACCATCTCTCATCTCTTTTTTGCTAATGCTATTCTCCTTTTTGTTGAGGCAAACATGGAGCAGGCTGGTATTATTAAGGCCATTCTAAATGACTTTTGCATGATCTCAGGGCAAAAAGTCAATGCGTCTAAGACAAGGATTTTCTTCTCTAAGAATATTTCTCATACTCGCCGTCAAGAGATGAGCGAGTTTCTTGGGTTTTAGGCTATTGCTGATTTGGGTCGCTACCTCGGAATGCCTTTGTTCCATGAATAGGTGTCAAAACATACATTCCATTTCATTCTAAATAAAATGGAATCACGGTTATTTGGTTGGAAAGCAAACTCCTCTCTTTTGTAGCTAGACGCACGTTGGTTTCATCTGTGGTAGCAACTATACCAAGCTATGCAATGCAAACCACTCTACTACCTGGGGCAACTTGTTAGTAGATTGATAAGAAGTGCAGGAATTTTTTGTGGGGGAGTACAGAGTCTAGGCGACGGCCTCAGTTGGTTTCCTGGGAGAAGGTGTGCAGAAGCAAAACGGAGGGAGGTTTGGGACTCAGAGCTTCTAAAGACCAAAACCAAGCTTACATGATCAAGCTAGGTTGGGGTCTTATTAAAAGACAGGACACACTGTGGGTCAAGTTCCTTCGTGAGAAGTACAGAGGCAGGGAAGACATCATTCCTAAGATGGAAAAAAGGAGAAAGAATTCGAGGACTTGGCCTAGGATCTGCTCAGCTTAGAACAATGTAAAAAGAGAATATGGGCTTCAAGCTCGGATCGGGATGGTCGATTAAATTCGTTCTGATAGGTGGATTGCCTCAGGTGAAAAACTGGAGGACCTTGTTGTCCATACGATACCAAATGAGGTGAAGAAGTGGAACGTGGCTAACGTGGTGTCTGCTACAGGAGGTTGGGAATGGCCTATGTTTGAAACTTACTTGCTTGAGTCCATTCTAGACACCATTGCCAGATTAGGTATCTTCTATCAGGATGTGGTCGACATACCTATATGGCGGCCATCCCCTGATGGCACATTCACATTGAAATATGCGTATTAGTTATTGCAGCAGGAGAGAGCAAATGATCACCGACCATTTTGGTGCCATTTATGGAGGCTTAAAGTTCCTCAACAATGTCGATCTTTTCTCTGGTTGGGGTCACACGACAGGCTCCTAACAAATGAAGCACGTGTGCGGAAAGGGTTGCATGAATCGGGCACCTGTGAAATCTGTGGTATAGGATTGGAGACGATGCTACACACCATCCAGAATTGTGTACATGCAAAGCAAGTGTGGGATCTATGCGTCCCAAAATGGTGGAGGAAACATTTTTTCCTTACCCAAGACATGAAGGAGTGGGTCAGGAAAAATATAACCATTAAGGGTCGATTGGAGGATTTCAAGTGGAGACAGTCGTTCTCGATCATCTACCGTAACATTTGGCTTGCACGTAACAATAGAGTCTTCCAAGGGACCTTACCAAGCCACCAGGACACTCTATCGCGATCTCGCGCTTGTCTTGCATGGAGTTCGCTAGTTCTTCATGTCTCAAACATAGTCACTATGCCTTGCTGGGAGCCACCTGACGAAGGAAAGGTTAAATTTAACGTAGATGGTTCACTTGACGTGAGACAGAATCTACGTAGATGTGGTGGGCTTGCGAGGAACCATGAGAGCGTGGTATTATGCGGCTTCCTGTATTGAATGCCCTCTGGATCGAGCCTCTCGACAGAGATTTGGAGTATCCTATGGGCCTTAAAGGTTGCTTGGGATCGAGGTTTCAGAAACCTAGAAATTGAAGGAGATTGTGTTGCCGCGGTGAATGCTGTGATCGAGGGTGTTAAGGAGGAGCACCCGAACCTATGCATAGTGCAGGAAGCCCAAATGATGCTTAAATGGGACTGGAGAGTCGACTTGCGTGTATGTGACAAGGAGAAGAACACCACTGCTGACACTCTGGCCAAGTTTGCGAGTATTATGGCATTAGATCTATCCTTTTTTAGTGAGCTTCCAAGCCAACTAGCCTACGTAGTTAAGGAGGATAGTGGTGGTGGACCTCAGAGTGACAGGAATCCTATGAGTAGCTAGTTTTGTCTCTGTTTACTTTGTTATAAAAAAAAAAAAAAAGGTTGTACCAATCTAAATTTATACAGTTTAAATGGGATCCGCATTAGTGCTCAGCACTCAAAACATAGAGCAGTATAATAAGGGACCTTTATTTTTTTTTCACTACAAAAAAATATATGTATTAAAATTATTTTTAGTTAAGATTTATCCAAAACGTTTTGAGTGCTGAGCAATATAATGAGGGACCTTTATTTTTTTTCATTACAAAAAAAATATATGTATTAAAATTATTTTTAGTTAAGATTTGTCTAATACTCTGAAATATTTTTTTAGATACATTCAATATTTTAAAATATTTTATGATATTTTGAAATATTTTCTTATGTGTATTTAGTATTCTAAAGTATTTTGTGATTCATTTAGTATCCTAAAATATTTTTTCATATGCGTTCATTATTCTAAAATACTTCAAGGTCTAGTATTAATTCTAGAGTCTTTTATGATTTATCTAGTATCGTGAAATATTTTTTCAGCATTCTAAAATATTTTGTGATACAATATCAGGAAATAGAAAATTTTTTAAGACATTAAATGTATGTGAAAAAATATTTTAAGGTACTAAATGAATCATAAAATACTTTAAGGTATTGAAAACACCTAAAAAAATATTTTAGAGTACTAGATAAATGTTAACCAAAAATAATTTTTATACATACTTCATTTGGTTATTAATAGAAGAGTTAGTTCGACTAATTCAAGTATATTAAAAAAATTAGCTAAATTAGTTATTTGTAATAAATAGGTCTTATTTTCTCTAAAATACTTTTTACTAATTATGTGTATTAACTAGAACCACCAATTGATTAAATCTTTAACATGTGCAATTATTATAAAAACTATATTGAAAAATAAATATATAGATATATAAGCGATAAAGTGGATTGGGATCTTATATTTAAAACTAAATTAAATATCAAACTAGTTTTTATATTAATAATTTGAGGTAGCATAAAATTTTTTGTAACAAAAAAAAAGAGCTCAACACTCAAAACGCATGGCGTTTTGACTGCTGAGCACGGAATGCGAACGCTTATTAGACCACATCATATAGAATAATGCAATAAATTAAATTAAAAAGATATAACATTTAAGAAAGAATCCGACTTAAATTTAACACCCTTTAGAATTAGGACCAAGAAGAGAAAAACTAAAAAAAAAAAAAACTAGGGGAGCGATGAGTGAGAGCGAGGGCGACATCATTGAGGAAGGGAGAGGTGCAGGCGATGGAGACCGAGGTGGAGGATAAGAAAGAGACAAGAATTATGAGAATCCTAGTGAACCAATGGCCTTTGTATTTGGGAATGGAGGATCTTAGAACGTTCGTATAGGGGAGTAAGAGTGGTCCTAGGGTGTGCCAAATTGAAGGGTCTCCCCACTCTCATACAAAGAGAAACTACTTTCCATAGGCTGTAGAGGTTTTCTTGTTAAACATGAGGAGGAAAAGGAAATTGTTAGTGGCTGGAAAGCCTATTTTGCTAAGAAGAACAAGGAATCGGAGGCTAATGACCAGAGAGAGGCCTCAGATAGCGAAGAAGGGAGGAGTTACGATGGTAAAGCTAGATATCTAGTCCTAGAAGTTGCAGCAGAGCAATATACACCATGGTGCAAACCATGGATGAACTCCTTAATCATTAAACTTTTAGGCACCTAAGTTCCAAAACACATGTTGATTGACATAGTACGACAGATGTGGAAGCCCACAGATCTGATAAAGGTCACTCCTTTAAGCAATGATTACTATATTGTCTCCTTCTCTAATAAAGAAGACCAAGATTATGCATTCCAAGAAGGACCATGGATGATAGATGACCACTACTTGATTGTTCAATGCTGGAGCCTAAACTTTAACCCATGGAAAGCTGATACACAACACAAGATTGCTGCTTGGATACGTATACCAGATTTACCAGTCAAGTTCTATAATGTCAAGTCTCTATGGCTTATAGGTAACATGGTGGGAAAGACCATCAAAGTAGATAGATCCACATCCATATACAACAAAGGAGGCTTTGCCCGTATATGTGTCGAAATTGACTTGCAAAAACCTTTACTTCCTACTTTCATCGCTTGGGGTGAAGATCGCCAGATTGTTTATGAAGGATTACTTGTTTTAGTTGTGAACGGTATGGCCATGCAAAGTCTCATTGCTCGTTGCTTCAGGAAGCTGAGACCCCAACAGGAAGGGATAGACAAGACACTACTGACGAATCTGTGAATGCAGAAGTGGATAAAACAGATACTACGAGTAAAGGAAAGAAGCTTATCGACTGCCCTACCCAAAACTCAGTGGCCGGAAAAGAACCAGGAATGACGGAACCCCATCTCGACCCCCAGATGTTAGTCAGTCGTGATTTTCATAGAGGAGTTATGAATGCAGATAGAGCAAGATTCAGCAACATAAATAAAATAAAGACTAATAATGGGCTAAAGTTTAAGGATGACGAAAAATCACAGGCTAAGATACCAGGATCACAAGTAAATCAAAAGGAGCAGTCTTTAGGATTAGAGCGCCAAAAGAGCTGTTTTGGGAATGATATCACTAATCAGCAACATATGTGGGTCCACATGGGCTCTAAAGGAAAAATTTTAACAAACCAAAGACTCATGGCAAAGAAAATAAAGTGTCTGATAAAACCCCTATTAAAGACAAAAGCAACGTGGGATACCCCAGTCAGCCCATTACTTTCAACAATCCCTTTTTTGCACTCCAGGAGGCCTCGCTTGAGGACACAACTCGTGTTGGGCCTGACGAAACAACTCATGTAGAGATGGTCATAGAACAAAGCAATGGGCCCAGCTCAATAGGATTGGATACAGGATTAAAAAGTGTCCCAGATAATAACGATGGAATCCACTCATCCTGAAACCCCATGATATATGGACGAGAATCTGGAGAAGCTAGTTCGGTAGGACCCTTTGACCCTCGAATGCTAAAAGTGAGAGTAGTTGAGGCAACCATGGATATTATCCAGGTGGTGGATATAAAATCAGCACTGAACCATCCTATTGTTTCCCCATGAATTTGATGATATAGAACTAAAGATGTATAGGCTCGAAGTCTTTTCCTACCCTGACACAAGAAATTTTATCAGCTGGACTTTCTTGCTTTATTAGAAACTCGATCAAACAGAAAAAGGACAGAATAGAGAATAAGTAAAGTGGGTTTTCAAGAATTTACCTTTATTGATGCTGAAGGCTTCTTTGGAGGCATATGGTGTTTATGGAATGATGGTGTAAAAAAGGTAGACATTGTTGAACAACATCACCAACTCATCCATCTCTGTATCGAAAATAGTAAACATGACAAGTGGTCTATGACCATCATCTATGCTAGTCCTAATATTGTAGCCCGACAAGGTCTTTGGAGGGAGCTTTCTCGCATAGGCAGCACAATGGGAATGCCTTGGCTTATTAGAGGAGACTTTAATGCCACTCTTATGGCCTCAGAAAGACGCTCTACTGCTTCTAACAAAACTACTGTTGATTATGAGTTTTACCACTAATATGAAGAGACAGAGGTGGTGGGATTGGGATATATTGGGCCAGACTTCATGTGGAAGAGAGGCACTTCAGAGGCATTCCTTGATCATTTTTTAGCTAATGACTCTTGGTGCCAACAATTTCCTAATGTTTAGGTAACCCACCTCCCCTTTTACAAGTCTGGCCACCGACGTATCCTTTTTTCGCCTTGAGGCCCCCTCAGAGAAACCCCAATGGCCTTTTCGCTTCATTGTCTCATGGGTCCTACACGATTAGTTCAGTGATTTTGTCCAAAGTAACTGGAGTGAGGCGATTGGATGGAACTCAAATATCACTCAATTTGCAGATGATTGTAAACAATGGAACAAGAAAGTGTTTGGACACATTGAAGGTCATAAGAGGAAAATTATGAGAAGACTTGATGGGGTGACTCACGCCCTTAAACATGGAAGGAACCTTGAATTTTACGAGGACCTCTAAAGCCAGTTATGGCAGGAGCTCAAAAAAGTCATCACTCAAGAATCCTTGTTATGGGCACAAAAAGCAATGCTTGACTGGAGCATTTATGGTGACAAAAACTCCCAAATTTTCCATGCTCATGCTAATGGTAGACAAAAGATGAATCGAATTGATACCATTCGATTACAAGACAATGAGTGGAGCTTTGACTCAGAAATTATTAAGCACTCAGCAACAGAATTCTTTGTGTCACTTTTCAAAGAATATATTATAAATAGGGAACTCCTAGAATGCGACATTTCTTACCCACCATTAGAGGATATCTTTCTCTGATGTTGTGCCAAAGATGTGGAGGAAAATGAAATTAAAGAAGCAATTTTCTACATGAGGGTGTTAAAATCTCCTGGCCCAGATGGCTTCAACCCCTTGTTCTACCAAAGCCAATGGAATACAATCGGCCCATCAGTTGTGAAATTCATTAAGCATCTCTTTGTTCAGCCTTAGGATGTTAGTGATATTAACGGTACTCTGATCGTCCTTATCCCAAAAAAAGATCCACCTGAAACCTTTGAAGACCTAAGACCGATTAGTCTTTGTAATGTCATTTACAAAGTGGTAACAAAGATTATGGCGAATCAGATGAAGAACTTATTGCCTCACGTTATCTCCCCAAACCAGTGTGGGTTTGTACCCAGTAGACTTACCTCGGATAATATTATAGTCACTCAGGAAGTTATCCATTCTATACACCACATGCGAGGGAAAAAGGGATTCATGGCTATCAAAATTGATTTAGAAAAGGCCTATGACAGGGTTAACTGGAAATTCTTGATCCGGTGCTTGCACGAGTTACGTCTCCCATCAAACTTCATTGATATCATTGCGAACTATGTTGAATCTGTAGAATTACAACTCCTTTGGAATGGTAATAAAGCTGAGGCCTTTAAATCCTCACGAGGGGTTCAACAAGGACGTCCCATCTCACCGTACCTCTTTGTAATTTGCATAGAGAAGCTAGCTCA